GGCATCTGAGTTAGAAGGACATACTGAAAACTCTGGCATCTCTCCCACCACACTGAAAAACTGAAGGAAATGGAAGCTTTGTTAGGTTCTAGGTATGCACATTCTTATGCACTGTAAACCCTATAGTTCATACTACTTTGTTGTGGCTCATTAAGACAAAACGTAGACCCGAGAGCCTCGTAACAATTTTCTTTCTATGGTGGGAGGATGGATTGTTGACTCTGCTGGCTAGCATTCTAATTTAAAGCAGAGAGATGAACATTAATATTCAAGTCCCTTAAAGGCTTTTCTAAATTTCTACATCATTAAATCAGAATAATCTGTGTACAAGCTTTGTATTTATAACTTGAATATTAAGTAGCATCTTGCCTTGTTCTTAGTACTATCTCTTCATTGGTTACTTGAGTGGCTCTTATTAAGTAGAAGCTACCATGACCACTTCCCACAATACCCACTCCCCCTAAATTCCCTTCCTATGTGGCTGGAAGATTTAGCATTTGTGATTAAAGAGAGCCAAACCAAGGAATAGAAACAAGGCATTCAGCTTGAAGGATTGAGCTATCTACTTGAATTATCTGTCTACAAATAGAGCAGGCAATGGAAGGGGAAAACTCTACATTTTGAAGGCATTTATAATAAATATTTTACTTGTTTCTATTAAAAATAGTGTTGTTTTGTGGAGATGCATATGCTAAAATTTATCCATTTTATCTTGAAAAAAATTTTTCATTATTACATAAAGCGAAACAGTAGACGGAAGAAAGTAGAAACATAACAGCAATCATTATAAATGTTTATAGACACAACTAAAGCCTTATCTAAAGTTCATCCTGTTTAAGGACATGTTTTATGTTGTACAATTCCTCTTAGAATATCAATCTAATAAGCACCAAATGAGGCTGAAGACAATGCTGTTATAAAAAATGGAGAAAAATGATTAAAATATGATAATTATACTGACAGCTTATATGCTCAATCTAATCAACTAAGCTTCCAATTTGTCATAATGTACGCTCACTCATACATTATTGCTTAATTATAGCAACACTTCTATTTGGAAAGGTTGTCAATCATGTGAATACCCATCATTTTTCTTTTTTTTTCTATAAAGGGGCATATTTTAAATAAGGATTTGAAGCCACTGTGCTATTGATTTAACCCTTGGAATATGTTTTATGCAAAAATCATAGTTCTTATTGAATGTTTTCTTTTCTATACAGATTTAGACAAGTTGATACTATGGAGTATTATGCTTTTATGTAAGAATTGACATACAGTATTGTAAAATGAAATTAAATATTGGTTGAATTTTGTGATTTCATGGTTATTAAGATATCTATGTGGTTGCATTAAAAGACAAAAGACACCATTTTTAAAAAGAAAAGCAAATTCGACTGAAGTGTTTCCCCATTTGTCTATGATCCATATTGATCAAGAAGCATAAGAGAAATGACAGTGAGGGTGAAATTCAAATATCTGTTATAAAGGATGTGGGTACTTATGGAAACAGACTCTATCCTTAGTACATTTAGATCTCTCTTACCTTTTACTTCATTTCCTCTGACTTCATCATTTTTCTTCTAGTTCATAAAAATGCTTAACACTTGCTAAAATGATCATATAAGTGCATCTGCCAGGGTCACCTACTGAGAGTTTAGTAACTTCATCATGTAACCAAGTATACTCAAGCAAAATAAAGTAATAAATTAAAACAACTGTTTATATACTGAAAAGACTAAAGTTTTGTCTGTTATTTTAAACATTATTGACTACATAAGATATACATATGTACATATGTGTCTGTATCTTCTCTACATATATCCTATAGCATATGTAGTATATATGTAGACTATAGTCTGTATATGAATATTTGACTATTTATGTATGTAGCATACTCTCAAGTTTTAACCTAGATTATCTAATAGACCATTTTGTCAAGATGATCAGATTATGAGCTAAAATTTGGGGGGAAAAATCTTACTAAATGTGGATATTTTTGGTCCTTAGGAATCAATGTTGTATTTTCTGGTTTTTGTTTTGTTTTGTTGAGACAGAGTCTTGCTCTGTCACCCAGGCTGGAGTGCAGTGGCGTGATCTTGGCCCACTGCAACCTCCGCCTCCCAGGTTCAGGCAAGTGATTCCTGTGCCTTAGCATCCCAAGTAGCTGGGACTATAGGCAGGCACCAACATACCAGGCTAATTTTTTTTTTTTTTGTATTTTTAGTAGAGATGGAGTTTTGCTATGTTGGTTATGCTGGTCTCGAACTCCTGGTCTTGAGTGATTCTTCCACCTTGGTCTCCCCAAAGTGCTGGGATTACAGGCATGAGCCACTACACCTGGCCTCAACATTGTATTTTCTATGATTCCACTCAACCACTAGAGTAGACAAGTCCATGGGGCTGAGAGGGAAGGTGGTGGGGGGTGGGGAAAGAGAGAGAGAGATGGAATTTATTTCTCCTTCATTTCTTTAAATATTATCTTTGGAAAGTGTAAGATAGTGAAGCAGGTGTTCAAATTTGCAAGTTCCATTATTCCTTAAAAGCTAGGTTTGTTCCAACAGCCAATATCATACTGAATGGGCAAAAACTGGAAGCATTCCCTTTGAAATCTGGCACTAGACAAGGATGCCCTCTCTCACCACTCCTATTCAATATAGTACTGGAAGTTCTAGCCAGAGCAATCAGGCAAGAAAAAGAAATAAAAGGTATTCAAATAGGAAAGGAGGAAGTCAAATTGTCTCTATTTGCAGATGACATGATTGTATATCTAGAAAACCCCATCATCTCAGCCCAAAATCTCCTGAAACTGATACGCAACTTCAGCAAAGTCTCAGGATACAAAATCAATGTGCAAAATCACAAGCATTCCTATACACCAATAACAGACTTAAGAGAGCCAAATCAAGAACAACTGCCATTCACAATTGCTAAAAAGAGAATAAAATACCTAGGAATATAACTAACAAGGAACGTAAAGGACCTCTTCAAGGAGAACTACAAGCCATTGCTCAACAAAATAAGAGAGGACACAAACAGATGAAGAAACATTCCATGTTCATGGTTAGGAAGAATCAATATAATGAAAATGGCCATACTGCCCAAAGTAATTTACAGATTCAGCGCTATCCCCATCAAGCTACCAATGACCTTCTTCACAGAACTGGAAAAAAACACCTTAAACTTCATATGGAACCAAAAGAGAGCCTGCATAGTCAAGTCAATTCTAAGCAAAAAGAACAAAGCGGGAGGCATCACACTACCAGACTTCAAATTATACTAAATGCTACAGTAATCAAAACAGCATGGTACTGGTACCAAAACAGAGATATAGACCAATGGAACAGAACAGAGGCCTCGGAGGCAACACAACATATCTACAACCATCCAGTCTTTGACAAACCTGACAAAAACAAGCAATGGGGAAAGGATTCCCTGTTTAATAAATGGTGTTGGGAAAACTGGCTAACCACGTGCACAAAGCAGAAACTGGACCCTTTCCTGACACCTTACACTAAAATTAACTCCAGATGGATTAAAGACCTAAACATAAGACCTGACACCATAAAAACCCTAGAAGAAAATCTAGGCAAAACCATTCAGGACATAGGTGTAGGCAAGGACTTCATGACCAAAACACCAAAAGCATTGGCAACAAAAGCCAAAATAGACAAATGGGACCTAATCAAACTCCACAGCGTCTGCACAGCAAAAAAAAAACAGTCATTAGAGTGAATCGGCAACCAAGAGAATGGGAAAAAAATTTTGCAGTCTACCCATCTGACAAAGGGCTGATATCCAGAATTTACAAAGAACTATTTTATAAGAAAAAAACAAGCCCATCCAAAAGTGGGCGAAGGATATGAACAGAAACTTTACAAAAGAAGATATACATGAGGCCAACAAATATATGAAAAAATGCTCATCATCACTGGTCATTAGAGAAATGCAAATCAAAACTTCATTGAGATACCATCTCATGCTGGTTAGAATGGTGATCATTAAAAAATCTGGAGACGACAGATGCTGGAGAGGATGTGGAGAAATAGGAACACTTTTACACTGTTGGTGGGAGTGTAAATTAGTTCAACCATTGTGGAAGACAGTGTGGCGATTCCTCAAGGACCTAGAAATAGAAATCCCATTACTGGGTATATATCCAAAGGATTACAAATCTTTCTACTATAAGGACACACGCACCTGAATGTTCGTTGCAGCACTGTTTACCATAGCAAAGACCTGGAACCAACCCAAATGCCCATCGATGATAGACTGGACAGGGAAAAATGTGACACATACACACCATGGAATATTATGCAGCCATCAAAAACGATGAGTTCGTGTCCTTTGTAGGGACACGGATGAACCTGGAAACCATCATTCTCAGCAAACTGACACAAGAACAGAAAATCAAACACAACATGTTCTCACTCATAGCCGGGTGTTGAACAATGAGGACACATGGACACAGGGAGGGGAGCATCACACACTGGGGTCTTTTGGGGGGAAATAGGGGAGGGACAGCAGAGGGTGGGGAGTTGGGGAGAGATAGCATGAGGAGAAATGCCAGATATAGGTGAAGGGAAAGAAGGCAGCAAATCACATTGCCGTGTGTGTACCTATGCAACAATCTTGCATGTTCTTTACATGTAACCCAAAACCTAAAATGCAATTAAAAAAAGCTAGATTTGTTATAATAATGAGATATGCTGATATATATAATTGTGAACTTGGGAGTATGAACCCAAGTTGTACCATATTTCTATCACTTTAACGAATTAGTGAAGTGAAACAAAAGTTTCACTGAAAGTGAAACACTTTAGCAATGTATGTCAAGTGTTATATTATTTAAGACCTTAGATATAATTCAAGCTACAGCCAAGGACCTAAGGGCATTTGTCACATACATCAGTATTTTCAAGAAATTTATTTAAAACTTCATTACAAATGTTAAAATACAAAAATCTACAAGCACAATTAAAATTGAATAATAATAGCTTCATGTGCTCGCTTCGGCAGCACATATACTAAAATTGGAACGATACAGAGAAGATTAGCATGGCCCCTGCGCGCGCGCTTCATGTCACTTGTATCTATAATTTTGTTTTCAATCCTTGACCCCAAACGTGGTCCAATATAGGCTTACAACATAGGTCAGGTTTCATGTCCAGGTGGTTTTATTTCTTAATTTTTTAAATATTTTACTCCTTGTTTTCTAAACTAGTTTCTTAACTAACAATAATCAGTCATTGCAAATGGAAACACATGACTATCAGATAGTTATGGATATTACCATTAAACTCAAATGAAAAAATTATGGAGTCATGTTTACTAGACAAGGTAAGTTGGTATCAACATAAAACTTGCTTGAAAGCATTTGTTACTATTGCTGGGTAACAAATTATCCCAAAATTTAATGGCTTAAAACAACAACCACTTAATTATATTGCATGGATTTTAGGGGTTGGGAATTCATGTAGCTCTCAGCCAGGTACTTCTTCTGGTCCTTATTGCATTGATGAAGGTCATTCAGTGGGACTCAGATGGTGGATGGACTCATCTGGAGTCAGCAATAGCTTTATTCACATGTCTGCTGCCTTGGTAGGAGTTGGGTAGCTGGGCACAGCAGTGATTGATAACCAGTGTGGTGTCTCTAGCATGACAATCTTGAGGTAGTCAGACAAGGCAGCTGCATTCTCCCAGAGCCAGTATCCTAAGAGAACCACTAAATGTATTTGTCACTTATACTGTGGCCCGTTTTCCAGAATTACTGGCTATGCTGTAATATATGCCTGATTTTGCCACAAGGATGGATGCCTTTGTAATTTGTTCTTCTGATTTAATTCTTGCTGCAAATTTCAATGGTTTTGTACCAAAATAACAAGAGTATTAGTTTGAAGTTGGTCTAGAAAAGTTCAATTTGTTTACCAGAGAGACCAGTGGATTTTGAGGGAGGGAGGAAGAGAGGACAGGAGGAGAAACTGTTACATTACATGCTCTTATTTGACAAGGTTTAAATGTATTTTCCATTGATCATTTGTAAAATAAAGTCTAATTTTATAAAATTCATCATATACATTTTTGTCAGGGGAACTACTTAGGTAAAATCATGGTGATTACATATTCCCTTGGCCCAGCAAATAAATATTCACAGTCAATACTGATACCGGAGACTGATAACTATTTGTATTATATTAGTCCTAGTTTTAGTATTTAGGTACCATTTTTGCTATTCTTTAGTATCCAAAAATCGCTTTTAAATCATGCATCTAATTTTGTGAACTGTGGATAAAATACTTCCTCATCATTATAATTACAATCATCATCAGTTAACCTGTACTGAGGGAATAATATGTGGCAGGCATTATTCTTAGCTCTTTATTATGTGTTATCTCATTTATCCTTCATAACAACTCTGAGATTATTATTCAGTACTTATCAACAAAGGAAATTGAGGCACGGAAGGATTAAGTCACTTGTCAGAACAATTTTCTGTTACTAAACATTATAGAAACTATTAGAACTGGGAATCAAACCTGAGTTACCTGATGCACGAACAACAGCAACAATGAATTTCTCAGGAACGTTATGCCCAGTGTTCTTGCCTTAATTGTAGTCTTGCTTCTTCCGCTGTGTTTTTGCCCCAGCGTGGTGTGGTCCCCTCTGCAGTCTTCCTCCTACCCCTGGCCCTGGGGAGCTGCCTCACTGGGCTTAGTTCTTTCACTTTCTGATGACTGTTTTGATACTTGACTGACTGATCTGGGGGAAGGTTCCATGAGGCCATCCCAGCACATTGGCTTACACTCTGCATCTCCATCATTAAGCTGGTTGCCTTCTACTGATATCATATGTTCATGCAAAATCTGGATCCAAACATCCCAAGAATAATTTGGAAATGTTTATAAATATCTCCAGCAAATAGCATACCTGAGCATGTAAGGTGGGAGGATGGGTTTGAGGGGCTGAAAATATACAAAGAGGTTTCTATTTGTTTTATACAACAAAAACAGCTGACAACAATCTTTGTTTACTATGAAAGAAATCAGGAAAGAGTCAGGAGAGTACCACATAACTAAACTCTAAGGAGGATAAGAATGAAGGGTGATTGAATTGTGTGGGGTTACATGGGCAGTTCTATTTTTTTTAATTATACTTTAAGTTCTGGGATACATGTGCAGAACATGCAGGTTTGTTACGTAGGTATACACATGCCATGATGGCTTGCTGCACCCATCAACCCATCATCTACATTAGGTATTTCTCCTAATACTATCCCTCCCTTAGCCCCCCAACCCGACAGGCCCCTGTGTGTGATGTTCCCATCCATGTGTTCTCATTGTTCAACTCATACCTGTGAGCAAGAATACACAGTCTTTGGTTTTCTGTTCCTGTGTTAGTTTGCTGAGAATGATGGTTTCCAGCTTCACGCATGTCCCTGCAAAGTTCATGAACTCATCCTTTTTTATGGCTGCATAGTATTTCATTTTGTATATGTGCCACATTTTCTTTATCCAGTCTGTCACTGATGGGCACGTGGGTTGGTTCCAAGTCTTTGCTATTGTGAACTGTGCTGCATAAACATATATGTGCATGTCTTTATAGTAGAATGATTTATAATCCTTTGAGTATATACCCAGTAATGGGACTGCTGGGTCAAATGGTATTTCTGGTTCTAGATCCTTGAGGAATTGCCACACTGTCTTCCACAATAGTTGAACTAATTTACACCCCCATCAACAGTGTAAAAGCATTCCTATTTCTCCACATCTCCAGAATCTGTTTTTCCCTGACTTTTTAATGACCACCATTCTAGCTGGCGTGAGATGGTATCTTTTGTGCTTTTGATTTGCATTTCTCTAATGACCAGTGATGATGAGCTTTTTTTCATATGTTTGTTGGCAACATAAATATCTTCTTTTGAGAAGTGTCTGTTCATATCCTTTGCCCACTTTTTGATGAGGTTGTTTTTTTTCCTGTAAATTTGTTTAAGTTCCTCGTAGATTCTGGATATTAGCCCTTTGTCAGATGGATAGAGTGCAAAAGTTTTCTCCCATTCTGTATGTTACCTCTTCACTCTGATGATAGTTTATTTTGCTGTATGGAAGCTTTTTAATTTAATCAGATCCCATTTGGCAATTTTGGCTTTTGTTGCTATTGCTTTTGGCACTTTGGTCATGAAGTCTTTGCCCATGCCTATGTTGTGAATGGTATTGTGTAAGTTTTCTTCTAGGGTTTTTTATGGTTTTAGGTCTTACATTTAAGTCTTTAATCCCTCTTGAGTTAAGTTTTGTCTAAGGTGTGGGAAAGGTATCCAGTTTCAGTTTTCTGCATATGGCTAGCCAGTTTTTCCAACACCATTTATTAATTAGGAAATCCTTGCCCCATTGCTTGTTTTTATCAAAGACCAGATGGTTGTAAATGTGTGGCATTATTTTTGAGGCCCCATCCAAGGTCACCAACATCAAAGACCAAAGGCAGATAAATCCACAAAGATGAGGAAAAAAAAGCACAAAGAGACTGAAAATTCCAAAAACTATAACACCTCTTCTACTCCAAAGGATCAAAACTCCTCACCAGCAAGGAACAAAACTGGACGGAGAATAAGTTTGATGAATTGACAGAAGCAGTCTTCAGAAGGAGGGTAATAACAAACTCCTTCAACCTAAAGGAGCATGTTCTAACCCAATGCAAGGAAACTAAGAAACTTGAAAAAAGGTTAGATGAATTGCTAACTAGAATAACCAGTTTAGAGAAGAAAATAAATGACCTAATAGAGCTGCAAAACACAGCACAGCATGAGAACTTTGTGAAGCATACACAAGTATCAATAGCCATATCAATGAAGCAGAATAAAGGATATCAGAGATGGAATGTCCACTTAATGAAATAAAGCATGTAGACACAATTAGAGAAAAAAGAATGAAAAGGAACAAACAAAGCCTCCAAGAAATATGGAACTGTATGAAAAGACCAAATTTACATTTGATTGGTGTACCTGAAAGTGACAGGGAATGGTACCAAGCTGGAAAACACTCTTCAGGATATTATCCAGGAGAACTTTCCCAACCTAGCAAGGCAGGCCAACATCTAAATTCAGGAAATACAGAGAAAATATTCCTTGAGAAGAGCACCCCAAGACATATAATCATCAGATTCACCAAGGTTGAAAAGAAAGAAAAAATATTAACGGCAGCCAGAGAGAAAGGTTGTGTTACCCACAAAGGGAAGCCAATCAGACCAACAGTGGATCTCTCTGCAGAAACCCCACAAGCCAGAAGAGAGTTCAGCCAACAATCAACATTATTAAAGAAAAGAATTTTCAACCCAGAATTTCCTATCCAACCAAATTAAGCTTCATAAGCAAAAGATAAATAAAATCCTTTACAGACAAGCAAATGCTGAGATTTTGTCACCACGAGGCCTGCCTTACAGGAGCTCCTGAAGGAAGAACTAAATATGGGAAGGAAAAACTGGAACCAGCCACTGCAAAAACATACCAAATTGTGAAGAACATTGACACTATGAAGAAACTGTATCAACTAACAGGCAAAATAACCAGCTAGCATCATAATGACAGGATCAAATTCACACATAACAATAATAACCTTAAATATAAATGGGCTAAATGCCTCACTTAAAAGACACAAACTGGCAGATTGGATAAAGAGTAAGGCCCATTGGTGTGCTGTATTCAGGAGACCCATCTCATATGCAAAGACACACATAGGCTTAAAATAAAGGGATGGAGGAATATTTACCAAGCAAATGAAAAGCAAAAAAAAGTAGGGGCTGCAATCCTAGTCTCTGATAAAACAGGCTTTAAACCAACAAAGATCAAAAATAACATAGAAGGGCATCACACAATGATATAGGGATCAACTTAACAGGAAGAGCTAACTATCCTATGCATCTGATACAGGAGCACCTAGATTCATAAAGCAAATTCTTAGAGACATACAAAGAGACTTATATCCCCAGACAATAATAGTGGGAGACTTTAACACCTCACTGTCAATATTAAACAGATCAACAAGACAGAAAATTAACAAGGATATTCATAGCAGTTCTTGATACCACTTAAGATCCACTGAGCTCTGTTCCTAGTGTG